TAAAATGAATGAAGAGTGTCTGTAAATTAACATGCTGGCGGAGAGTGAAAATAGCCCCACATTAATTAAACACGTTCTCTGTGAATATGACTGAAGTATCACTATAGGAACCATTTGACGAAGTCGCAGGGAACAAAGAAATGAACAAAATACATTGATCTAATGAATTCTCAAGCATAAAGAGCAAGTGACCACGAGGCAGGTAAAATTCGGTGCTTCCTGCTCTGGGACTGAGTTCCGAGAACATAACTGAGATATTCATTAGCCCAGATAACAAACTGGCAGGTTAGCGAGTAAAGTGTGGATCAGGAGGGGCTGATCAAACAGGGTCAGTGGTGTCTCTGTGACTTCTACACCCTAAAAAACCCTCCGTGCACCTGTGATTAAAGGCGTGGGTTAAAATGCAGGACAGCCAGGGAAGGAGACAAGGACAGGTTATTTGCTTCTGGCATCTCCTCTGCCAAGTGTATCAGGCAAAAAGCAGGTGGGATCAACAGCTTCTAGGGGCATGGAAAACTTCAAAAAATTAAATTAAAGTAAATGAGTGCCAGTCATGCACAAGTAGTCATAATATCTCCATCTGCCAGTTATTTATGGTCCCGTTGGCGCAGTTTTAGGGGATGCAGAGGCGCATCCTGCTCCCCAAAGAGTTTAAAGCACGAAGGCTGCTTAGTGAATCCTCCAGAAGGAGGCACATAGATAGCTGAGAATGAAAAGATACATTTCAAGACTCCCAACTGAAGATTAAAAACCTCGGCTCTTGAGTGAAAAATGCTGGAGCCAAGCAGAAAATGTAATAAAAGTCATGAAGCAGGAGCACTCCAAGCTCACTTCAGCAAGAAAGCTGAAGAAGAGATGGTAGCAATTACGAGAGCAAACAGCGCAGTTCTGAGCAGGCCCTTCCGTCGTGCTGGCACTCGATAAAGGTCAATGCACAGCAGAATGATCGTGACGTGGTGGTATTGGAAAAAGCACTACAGCTGGTAGCAATAAAATGAAGGCAGCTACTTAACGGGGTAGTGCAACCACACGTCCTATTTATTAATTGGGGGGCACGTCATGTACTTGGAAAATGTAAGATCCACGGTCTAACCTGACCAGCACTAATGCCACGAGTGCTGCTTGTACATCTGCAAGTTCATTGAAGAAATTTCAAGGAGGAAAGTCCTTTCCTCCTTTGCCACTGTGACAGTTGTGTTTCCTGGGAGCTCGTCTTGGAAATGTACAAAATTCAACTTTGCTCAGAGAATCCAAGCAGCCACTTTCGTTGTTTCTCATGACTAAAAGTCCACACAGAGTGCAGCTAGTGCTGAAAAAACACCCCACAAACCTGCTTTGCATTTGTGTGATTAAATCCCTGCTGATTTATCTTCATTTCTGATTTAGGGTGATCCTGGGGAGGGATTGCCAGGACCCCCTGGACCACCAGGACCTGCAGGACCATCTCCTCCTTCCAGAGGACTAGTGAGTATTCGGGGTTCTCTGTAAATGAGCTCGGCTTGCCATAGAGGGACCCAGACCTAAATAGGAGCTTTTCTCTGGGAAAGCAGCCCAGCTGCCACAGAGATAATCATGTTTTCTAAAACATTCATGCAGAAATGCAAATAAATGTCTGGCGAAAGCGTGCGAGTGCTGTAATCTACGCAAACGCTCAGTATTCCCGTTTCAAAAAGCCAGTCGACACATGTGCTCTCCTGGGCAAAAGCAGCACTACACAAGAGAACGAGAAGAGAAAAATTTCCTCAAAAGGGCGTTGCAAAGCTGAATTATTCATTTCCTCCCGCTACCGAGCACAGCAAGGGTTTGACAGTCCACGTAGGTTCGCTGTCATCGAATACAGCAGCACATACCGGCGCGGTGGCAATGCTCATATTTTGAATGCTCAGTACTCGGGCAACTTTAAAGAGTAGGTTTCCACAAGAGCACGTGTGTGCGCAGCTGAAGAAAGAATCCGGCCTGAATTCCCAATTCCTGATTTTAACACGTAGGCACAGCCCACCACTGACACCGGTGGCGGGCTGGCAGTGGGCTTTTAGACAAAAATATCTACCGGCGTGAGTATTTAACGAGATAGCTGGCAACACGTTGCGGTGACCAAAATGGATTTTATGTCCCCCTGATCTAGGGTCTGTTAAATTATACCAATCTGTTTCTGTAGCATAAAAATAACATTATGAGTTCTACAAAGCAAGCTCTATAATTTAAAAAAATGGACTTCATTTGGCTTGGCTCTGTATCCTATCATGGCGTGGCAAATATTCCATGAGGAATACTTTTTTTCTTTAGAGGTTTAAAAAAAGCCATTTGACAGTATGTACGCTGACCGTAGTTTGCACTATAGATTCCATAATATGGGAAGATGCTTTGGAAGCTGAAGAAGCTCGACTCTATGAAATTATCTTACAGATGGGTACAACTAGACTGTGATACTAAACCCAAACTGGTTTGCTTATTAATTAGAAAATTATTTAGTGTATTAATTTCCCTTTACAAAATGCCTCTTTGGATTCCAGCTGTAGGAACCTCAGAGTTTGGCTTTTGAAATAAGAGGCACTTTGAGCGGAATGGTGGCTAGCTGTGAGTTGTGCGTTTTAGGAGAGTCTTAATGTTGGCAGGTGTCTTTCCAGAGTTAAAATTTGATGAGATATCGCTTCAGAACAGTCCCATCGCACGTGTGCCCTGCAGGACTGTTATCACTGTGCTCCTAGAGCATCTACGGGTAAATACAGAGCTGGATGTCTACAAAGTAGTGTGGTGTGAAGCACCAGAAACAGGGCTGAGATGTTTTTGTTGCGTTGTAATTTATTTCAGCAGTCAGAGCGTGCTGCAAGGATCCTGTAGCTGTATTTGTTGTAGCTCTCTGGGCGATATTTTCATTTGTCATCTTTAGAAGCAATATTTTAAAATGCAATTCTCCCAATTTCAGAACAGATTGGAACCTGAAGAGTCAGGCTCCGGAGACATTGATGGAGAGACTGAGATTTTAAGAGTGAGTATATATATTTACGTTGGTTTCTCATCAGCATAATAAAGAGCTTTACTTTACTCATGCAGGTTGTAGAAGGTCCATCTCAGAATGCAAATTTTGTACAGGCTTAATTCAGAGCATCCAGATATTCTTTGTTGGGTTTCATTTCAGGATCTGAAAAGACCCCGGTGTACGTGAGTGGGGAAGAAGCATGCGGAAGAAAGAGGGCAAGAAAGAAATAACATCGAGCGGACTTGTAAAAATGAGAGAATGCTTTTAGTCTGGTTCTGAGAAGTAAAGAGGAGAGAGATGGGAATTATACTGTTCTTGTCGAGAGGGGCCCAAAACCGAACACAGGCTTCGAGGTCTACCCAGAGAGTATCCTCAAGTTTTCCTAAATCAGGGAGACGTGATATGGTTTAGGGGTGAACTTGTAGTGTAGGGTTAATGGTTGGGCTCGATGATCCCAAGGGTCTTTTCCAACCTGAATTGTTCTGTGATTCTATGAATAAGGGAGGGGAGAGACCCCTCCGGAGCCAGCAGCTCCCACGGGTGATGCACATCCTTACTAAGAAGCACCAGGGAGAGCAGGTGGGCTGTAGGGGTCAGTCGGAGCGGGGTGTAGCACGGGGAAGGGGGTTCAGGAAGGCTCTGAAGCTCAGCCAGCTCAAGAGGTGAGTCCAGCTGGTGGCCATCTCCCTTTATTTTTTATGAAGCCTTCGGGAGGGAGCGTTCCCACCCTTCAGTAAGAAGCTGTCAATAATACTGTGGTTTTCTGATGAATAAACTCCCTGGATGCGGGTCTTGTCTGAGCTCCAGAAGGCTACAGCGCTCTGAGGCTTCTGCTTTGCAACGCATCTAGTGAGATTCTGTCATTCTCTCAAGCTGATTTCTGCCTCGTTTTATTCAATTCGAATAGCTCTGCTCACCTCCGCACCGGAGGCGTCTTTCAGATACCTTTTTTTACTGCATTAAGCACAGCTGGGTCTTGACTGTGGGTACAGCTTCTCAGTGCTCCAGCAGAACCACAAAGCAACTCCTGGCAATCATAGAATCATAGAATGGCCTAGGCTGGAAGGGACCTTAGAGATCATTTTAATCCAGAGTAGAGGAAAAACCTAACGACTTCCCTCTGTTCCGAAATCCCTCAATTTCATTTTGGTGAAGTTTCTAGACATCATTGGAAAGCCTTTACTGGCTTACAGACACCTGACGCATAGTTTTGGCTTGGTTTTTAACTTCTTGCGTGCTGTCGCATGCCGTGATGTGGCACAATGCGGAGAGCAAGGATGGAGGAGGAGGACGTTGACCCTCTGTAAGAAGTGTGTCTGGTTCTAAATGAAGTAGAAGAGGCGTGGTAACCCCAGACGAGTGTTTGATGAACAGAACAATCTATGTGAGCTTTTGCTCTTCCATATATATATACAAACGAACCTGACTCAGACCACTTCCAACTCTGCTGTTGATTTATCCAGGGTCTTCCTGGGCCGCCAGGCCCTCCAGGACTACCTGGTCTTCCAGGAAAACCAGCACCCAATTCCGGAGTAGGACCTCCTGGGTCACCAGGGGAAGATGGAGCTTCTGGTGAACCAGGCCCTGAAGTGAGTATCCATTTGTGCACAAGCATTAATGTGGTTTCTGTCCTATAACACCAAGTTCGGAGGTTTACAGCCTGTAGAATTCTTCGTAATACTGCAGCATATTTTTAATTAAAGAGCTTGGATTTTATGTGTATTTTTTAACACCCCCCCAAAAATAATTTAAAATAAATGTCTCGTTACCCAGAGCACAGCAGGATGCACATCTGGCAGACAGACTGTGGTGAATCTGGACTAGAATAAATAAAAAGTTGTGTAATTAAAGGTCCTCAGTTGCGAATCCTAATTTCAGAAGTCGTGTGCAGGCTGGAGTCCTTGCTAAATCAACAACTTTGTAATGGAACATCTCTTCCCATGAGAAACGTGCCTTGGGAACGTTTGGGTAAAGGCTGCCTTTAGTAACGGGAAATAGCGCTTCACTCTTGCACATTACAGCTGATACCACTGCGATAGTCAGCTGTTTAAATATAAATTTTTTTAATGCTGCACAAAGTTAAACTGCCTCATGCATAAGGCTATTTTCCATGGGTTTTGCTGGTTTGGTTGGTTTTTTTTTAAGTGGCTCACAAACGCATGAACGCACCCTGAAATGAATCCCAAATCTCCAAGTGTCGCTTGCTAGCTGTACAGGAGAGGCTATTCAAAAGCTGTGAGGAAAATAAGCAATTTTAGAGCAATGAAGCTTCAACACGTTAAGCAGTATAGGCGAAATAGTCATTAAATTTAGAACGATTGTTGTTAGCTCAACTGCACTTTTAACCCTCCTCTGTCTGTGCAAACATGGTAGAATACAATCTGGAAATGTTTGAAACATACCAAAAACATTTCTGATCTCTTTAAGGTTAAAACGAATTGATTAGTTATTCTATCATGCACAGTGCATCCAAGGAGAAAAAAAACCAAAAAAAAACAGGAGGGGAAAAGTACGGAGAGCAGGGAAAATGAGGCCTTTGTGACCATTCTGCGAACACCAGTGAAAATGAGCATTTTCTATCTCCTTCTGCAACCATTTAAATCCTATCCCAAAACAGCTGAATACATAAATGGATAAAAGATTCTCAGAGGCCAGAATGCACACTTGCAAATTTACTTAAGGACTTTCAGAGCCCAATTTTGAAAACATTGGGCATAAAAATACGTGTGTAACTATTGCCCTTCTTGCATATGCAGTTACCGGGTGGTGGACATCAATACCTGCACTGATTTACCCTGCAAAGACAGCTTTCCCCAGCCTGGCTTCTCACTCAGATGCATGTGGCTGGTTGATATAATTTTCTTTCAAAAGATACTTAAATAGTCTTTTGATACAAAGCCAGACTCTCAGAAGACAAGAAATAGAAATATTCGAACTTAGCGGTGCTAGCTGTTAAGCCTTTCATGATGTTGTACCATCAGCTGGTCCAAAATTCTTACACTCGTGCTAGGAAGAGGGCTCTCAGGTGGCACCTACTTTAGATGTTTTATGATCTACAGGGTCCTCAGGGTCCTCCTGGTCTTGATGGAGTAGTTGGGCCACCAGGACAGAAAGGAGAAAAGGTAAGTCCCGCGTCTGTCTTGCTCCTGCTTCAGTGGAAAATCTTGGTCAACTCTAGGCTGTGAAATCATAAATAGTTGTCCCTGACACACAGTGTTGGCTGGCTTCGGTGTTCTTTAAATTGAATCCAGCTGCTAAAGGCTCATTGGAACACATCTCGAAAGGCGTGTTCAGAAATCCAGAAGTCCCTTCCGGGTAGAGCCTCGGTTTTCTGTGGCGTGCAATATTCCAGGAGCAGCACGAGCTGCTCTGCTGGGATTCCCCACCCAAAAGCAAGACTTATTGCACGTCGTGCGTGACCATGTTGCGGTTTTCAAAGGGTAAGGTCGCAAAAACGACAAGAACTTAGCTACGTGTAGGTAAGCAGGCACTTCTGTATTGCAGCGCTGCGGAAGCACAGGAATCACCTAGTACTTCAGACATGTCACAAAGAATTCAGCCTATTTATACACTTTTCATGCAAAATTATGATCTTTAACGTATTTTAACATAAACATGCAGACGATGCCCGCTATTAATTTTCGCCTTTATAATGATCGATTGAGCTCGTATTAATATTCATATATCTTATTGATGCCCGCTATTAATTTTCACCTTTATAATGATCGGTTGAGCTCGTATTAATATTCATATATCTTATTTCCATACAATCGTTGGTCGTTGCGGTGAGACCACATTTGATCACAAAGCACAACAAAAAATAGGGAGGCATGCCCGCATGTATTGATCTGTCTAAGTGAAATATGCTGCTATTTTTAAGGTGCAGGTGCAGCACTACAGACCTGGCTTTGCCAAGTACAAAACATTCCCTGCCCGTTTTGCAACTCGTACCAGCTCTAGCTCCAGCCTTCTTCATAAGGCCTGCATCTGTGATTTCTTAGCCTAAGTGAGGTTTTGTGCATTTCTTATCCTTATCAACAAATTTAATTAAGGTAGCGATTAGTATTCATTAAGCAATTAGCTCTTTAAAACTTAAATTTGATTACAACAACCAGATGAGCACAGCAAAGGGAAGGAACATGTGAAGGAGAAGAACTGGTCATATCATCCAGCTGTTGCCAAAAAAAAAAGCTACATATTGTGGAAAAAAAAGCTACGTATTGTGAAACTGGCATCTTTTTTAAGTTTCCCCAAATCACCTTAGGTGGTTCCTTTTTTTTATTACTGCATCCATTTTTTGCATCCCACTTCAAGAAGGGTGTGGAGAAGACGGAGACAAAGACAACAGGAAATTTTCATCTTCTAGTGAGCTTCCACACCATGCTTTATGCAGGAGAGCTTGAAAGGAAATTGCCAAGTGTACTTTTTAATCGTTATTAGCCAAGTGTATTTGTAATCATTATTCCTAATTAATCCGGAGAAGATTACAAGGAGAAATTGCAGGACACGCTGAAAGTAAAGTCAATTTGTTCCTTGGAAGGAAATTTGAAGAGAAGATTACGAGGAGAAATTGCAGGACACGCTGAAAGGAAAGTCAATTTGTTCCTTGGAAGGAAATTTGATGTGGTTCTTTTGCCGTTACTTTTGGAAGAAAACGTTGTCGCTTTATTCCCGGTGCTTACTCATTTTTTTCAGACCTTACTCAAGTAGTATTTCTGTTGCATGAGTAAGGACGGGAGCTTGCCAATACAAAGATTAATCCCGTCAGGTTCGGTGCAATTTGGAAAAGACTTTTTTTGCATGCTGTGACTTTCTGTCTATTCTCTGAACTAGAGTTGGACAAAACAGTACCTAAGTTTATCAGACCAAATCAAATAGCTTGATAGCTGCAGAGGAGCCTTAAAGTTGTCCTGGTGATCATGTCCCCAGCTTGGAGCAGTGCCCTGGACAACCTGTGTGGGATCAGTTCCCGCTCCTGTTGCATCCCGTGAGAGTTCTGACATTTAAATTCAGAAGTGTGAGGACGTGACCCACAACGCTTAATTCTCTGCACCCCAGACCTCAATCTGCAGCAATAATTGAAATACAAGATTGCATCCTGTCTCTGTACCAGCCCGGAGCTATTCGTTTGGTTTTGTAACTCCTGAATCACAGATTGTTTTCTTTTCAACTAAGAGATCTAACGTTCCGTGTAAAGGACACTTGACATCAAATTAAACAACACAAAAATCTGGGTATTTTAACCAAGCAAAAATGTCATAAATGTGTTTTTGTTGCCTGTTTAACGCTCTTACTGAAAGTAATTCGGAGTGTTTTCCGTTTACAGGGTGATCGAGGCCTTCCTGGTTCTGTTGGTCCAAAGGTAAAAAGAAAAAGAAAAAAAAGACAGTGTCATTAGAGGATACCGGTATTGTTCTAGTACAGCACCTTACCAAAAAGGGCTGAGAAGCCTAAAAGATTGTCATTGTGAAACCCAATGAAGGAAAACTTGGCTTCTCTTCTTGCAAGTCCCGAATACCAACAGGCTGACCTTTCTTTTTTATTTATTTTAGGGTGATACTGGAGTCGCTGGATCAACAGGCCCCAAAGGACAAGCTGGTGCTGTTGGGTCTCCTGGGCAACCTGGACCACCAGGACCTCCTGGACCTCCTGGACCTCCTGGGCCTGTGGCACGGAGCTACAGTTTGGGATTTGAGGTATTTTGGTGTTCTGGGGTTTGCTGGAGCTCTGGATACGCCCCCCCTTCAGAGGAGGATGGCTGTGATCAGCTGTGTCTGTCAGTTATTTACGGCCAAATTGATGACAAACTCATTTGCTCTAGACTGAAATTTGCCTAATAGTGACTTCCAGATCCTTTTACATTTGATGGTATAATTGGCCACGCTTAGACCATGGAAGGAATGGATTTCTCTGGGCAATTTTCCTGAAGCTATTCAGTAGTGACAGTGTTCAGATGCTATTTTTGATGCCTGTATCATTGCTAATATAAAATGCTCAAATATTGTACTGCAAGGGAAAACTTCTTGGGCACTTTTTTTTCTCATGTAAATGATAGAGAACTTTGATCTGAATATACATAAAGACCTGACAGTGTTCGTTAAAATCAAACGTAAGCTATGACTTTTCCCACGCCATCATTCTTGAGGCCACGAGTTTAGATGAGGCATGTCATGTAACATGTAAATACAGACCTTGGACATTTCTGACCTCATGGTCTGTTCTGCTCAGAAGAAAAATGTTCTAGAAAAAAATCGAGAAATTGCAGATGCTACTCTTCCTACTTCTGAAAACAACACATTTGTCGCTTTAAAATACGAGATCTGGCCAGCTCAAGCTGAGTTTTATGTGTCATTTGAAAACTGCTCCTTTAGACGATCTTTTTGGAGCAGAAAGTGGCTTTGCAGTACAGAAAGGCGCAAAGGGAGCACACTCAGGTTCAATAACTAGAGCCGCTGCATTATTTTTGTATTTCTCTTTCCTTTAGAGAGTGCTCCAAGTACAGAGTTGACTAGTAATGCTTGTTTAAAGGCATATTCTGATTTCCGAAAGCTGGCTAAATAATATTGTACTATAGACACTACTGGTTAATAATCTTGCTGATGTCAGTGGATTTCAGTGGGCGGAGAAATCTCTCCAGCAGTTCCCAAGTTCTGAATTGCAATGTTTAGCAAGGAAAGACACAAAGTCTAAGTGTCTCGGGCACGCTGTAAAGGCTGGTGCAGGGTCTCCCCTGAATAAATACGTACTTGTGTCAGAATGAGGTAAGGATTGCTGGTAAGCCACGTCTTCATCCCAGGCCTGGCCTGAGTTTTAGCCCAGGATAATGGCATCTCTGACTTAGTCATCTTCTAAGACCCTTGAGGATACAGTGTTACGAGATGCTCCGGTCTTCCCCATTCACGCTGTTTGAGTAGAAGCTGGCTTTGCCCCATTATGCCACCAAGGAGTTCCCCTGCAGGTAGGTCCCCTAGGACCAAACTCTGCCGCTTCTGCAAAGCCTCAAAGGAGCAAAGCTGGCAGAGGAGCAGGAGAGAGTGAAAACTGGAAGTCCCCACTTTTATGGGTACAGGCACACAAGGATCCCAGCTCCAACTGCAGCAAGAGCACCGTAACTGCCTGTGTCTCGAATTTCATCTAGCCCAAAGGAGAATCGGCGTGCTTGTCATTTCCCTGAGAGGGGACTACTAACAGACTTGCAAGATCTTGCTGATCTTTTGGATGCCCACCCCAGCCATCTGTTACGGTCTGCCAGTTCGTTAGGGCAACGCTACCTTTTGGCTGGCAGGCTGCTCAGCGCCGCGAGGCTGTTTCTGCAAAAACATTCCCGTTAGCGCTCGTTAGCATCTGCGATCAAGCTATGTGCAAAATCCAAATGGCACGGGGCTTGCCGGCGCTGACGCTTGCCAAAAGAACAGTTTGAGCTGCAGAAGGCACCTGGTAAACCCAGTGAAAACATGCAGATGTCAAAAGCGATGGTGTGTTATGTAAAGCCCTCTCTTAAAGGGAAAATTAGATTGAGCGGTGGAGGCAAGGGAGGGAGGGGCCCAGCAGCGCAGCTTGTGGTTCACCCGAAGCAGCGAGTGTTTGGTTAAATTGGCCAGAGTATCAGCACATTTCCTGCTCATATTTGATGTGCTGATAGCTGATGGAGGAGTAAAATACAAGTCAGAAGAGCTCGGAAGTCTCAGGTGAGGCTGTGTGAAAGGGCTGGAGCCAAGCTGTGTCTCTCCGCTTGCTCCTCAGAAGGCAGGACCTGATCCCAGCCGTGCGCTCCTTCTGCTCCTCTTGTTCTTGCTCTCGTGGAGTTGGTGGAAAAGGGCAAAAGAACGGTTAGCTCAGTCAGTTGAGTGTGGCACTGACAACGCCAAGGTCGCGGGTTAGATTCCCATTTGGTCCCCATGTGTTGCCTGATCTTGTCGAGAGGTGGCGTCCCTGGCGACAGGGAGGCTGGATTAAAATGATCTCTGAGGTCCCTTCCAGCCTAGGCCGTTCTGTGATTCTAGGATTCTGTGATCTCTGTCACTGGAGCCAGAGCAATTGATCTCTTCCACAGCTTCGGCATTAGGCTGCCGCTCCGTAGCAGCTTAAGCTGATCTAACTGATCTTCCACCCTTACCCTTGCGATATCTCCAGAGCTGTGGCAATCTGACCCATTTCCAGTTGCTAACTGGTAGGAAGCTAAGGAAGCAAGGAGGAGGGGTCCTCTAACCACGAGAAGCTCATTGCCGCTAACAGGTGGAGATTCTACTTCGTTCCTACTCCTCCTCCCATCCGCAGCCAACCCTGGCGCATGCTTGCCCTTTTTACATCCAGTGTTCCATCAGTCCTTCCATGAGACAATTTAATTTACTGGAAATGCGTAGAACCATCTCACCCCCAAAAAGCAACTTATTTTCTGCCAGTTTAGTGGCTCACAGGAAAGCGGGAGGATTCAACACGTGGCGCTGATGAAGGCTGCGTGGCTGCAAGCAGGGTTGCGGAGCAAAAATACCATCAAGATTTTCCCTTTTCAGAAAAAAAACCAACAAACAAACAAACAAAAAAGGAGCAATTAAGCCAGCACAGCTGCCTTTAAAACTGCAGCTGAAAGCAAGGGAATGTTTTCCTGCTGGCACAATTCATCCAGGTGGTTTGAAGCACAGTCTGACAAGTTCTAGGTGAGTCAAGGGTGAGGAACTTGTGGGTGGGACGGTGCCGGGCGTAAGGGAGATAGTCAGGGCAGCCTGCGATTTTATTTCTTTGGTTGCTTTGGAATTGGCAACTCCTGGTTCTGCCACGAACTTGGAGTGTCGCCAGCAGAGCCATGAGAGCTGGAGGGCAGGGGTTGCTGCTTTCTGAGGAGTCTCCTTTAAGACCCCCAGGAAACCTCCGCAGGGAATAGGGATGCTGCTTTTAAGGTGTTTTTCGTGACAGCCAAGCTCTGGAACATGTGCTTGGAGAAGCTGCAGAACCTCCATTGCTGGAGGTTTCCAGGACCTGAGGGGACACAGCCATGAGCAACACGATTTAAATTCGGTGTCGATGCTGCTTTCAGCAG